GTTCACCTGATGTTAAGTAACTGGCGCTCATTGATATTTGCAACACCCGTAGGGTTGCAGATGCGTTGCCACCCTTATATAAAGTCTAAAATGAATTTTTATTTTCAAAACAACAACGATAGTAGACAATGTTAGTTTCTTTCATTTACGGCCCGTTTCAATATTCTATCTACAGATAGATTTGGTTACTGGAGATGGAATTTTGACGTAAGTATTATGGAGCTAATGTCAAATACCTATCGCTAGTAACTAAATCTATCTGTAGATAGAAAGAATATTGAAACCTGCCGTTAATCAAAATGCTGATAAAGAAAACATTTATAGTAGTATTATTTCGCGCACAATTTCGGTTAAGAGTCGGGGGGGAAATATGATAATTTTACGCCATTTTCTGGTCACGTTTCTAAAGAAATATGTTTCGCTCTAGTTCTGCAATTTGAACGTACGCAATAGACTGCATTGGTCCGCAATCGTGTTGCCGTCGCCAAAATGCCGCTGTCGAGTTATGCAATGCAAAATACGCTTAAATCCTCGGTAATAAAGTGCAGAGCAGCGACCGCTTTCGCTCGTGCGAGTGTTGCGTTCAAGCTTGCACCTTAGCTATGGGAACGAAACGGTTTGGTGGATTTTGATAAGTCGATTACATTTTCGATTTCAACAAACGCCCACTCGACAGCTTTGTAGCATGACCTGTACCATTGTTACTTTGAGAATTCTTTTCATTTACGTAACAGTGTGACCATATTGGTTATTGGATTTACGTATTATTTCAACGATTTCTCAAATTTAAAAAGGTGTAAGTATTACTAAGTAAATTATTTCTTATATTACTGCTTTCTTTAATGTGAATGATTTTTATGTAGTATTATTACCATAGGAAACAGTTCAAGAGTCATTTAGTTCTAATAATACCAATTTACGGATACTATCGCGGTTTATTTTTATTTTAAAAGTTTCTAACGCTTTACATTTGTGGTCACGGGCTGGACTGGAGATGTAAGGCTTTCTGGTGTCATTGTTAACTCTGACTACCGTCACTTAGAAAGGCTTTTAGCTTTTTCTTTGTCTTAAATCATATTTTTGCTATAGAATAGCTCTCTACGTAAACGAAAATATGTCCATGAAGCAATGCTTTATTCCTTAAGAGATACAAATACAGTAATCTGATACGGCTATAATTACAATTGTAGTAAGTTATTAAACAATTGTAAGTAGCTCTTTAATTATCAATGCAAGCTCTCCGGCCGCTCTCTTTTAATTCAATATACTCGAGCAACTTGAGTTCGATCCCCGGTGCCGGCACCAATTAAATTGGTGATTTTAAGTGCTGACTTATCACGTGTTCGTCACAAGTCCGCACTTTCTCAGCGGTGAAGGAAAACATCATTTACATAAAAAAAGAATAATATTTCGAAGGTATGCGAAGTACGCCGCAACCGCAGTGGGGATGCATGGTGGACTATGCCCTAATACACTCTGTACAGATGAGGCATTTGCCTTGCAGAGAGACATATATAGGCTGTTTCTTTACTTTACTTTTCAAAATGTTTAAAAAAAAAAATTTGTGTGATATCAAGATCACGAGCAACATAATATCCGTCCAATTCGACGGGATACTCGTATCTTGGGCAGATTTACGTGACAAGTAACGGGTGGCTTCCTCTCAAGAGAAATGCGCGCTATGTACTCACAAAGCGAAACTGTTGCTTTACTGGTCCCTTTATGAATATCCTCCGCTCGTCGCAACAAACGAAAGCAGTCGGTTGAGTTCCACAGGACGCGCTTTTTCCGTCAGCATTTTAGTACGTGAGGGGCCGTTTAAATTATCTCGGAGAGATCTTTTAATTACCCCGCTGCCCGTTAACTATTCCTCACGGTTATCTGTGCCGACATAATAATACTTTATGTCACACTTATTGCATGTTTCAGAAAACGAAATCGACTTTAAATATCTCACTTAATGTAAATTTTCTGTTTCATTTTAAGGAGTCCCCTGATATTGTATTTCCGGACCACAACGTCCAATTACCGACGAAGTTAATATCGAGAGCTAAGCCTAAACCAAAGCAAAAATATTTTTGAAAATCGGTTCCTTAATGATGGAGTTCTGGGGTAACAAACATAAACAAAACTAGCCCCGCCCCGCACGGGTGCAATGTAGATATTGAATTCCTCGGCTTTCTCTGTTATAATATGCATGTATACTGTATATAAAACTTCCGCTTGAATTCCTCTATCTATTGCTGAAACCGCATTAAAATCCGTTGCGTAGTTTAAAACATTAAAGCGTATAAACATCGGGGGCGACTCTGTTTTATACTATGTATAAATACAACCGAATTTATATAATCTCCTACCTTATTAAGTCCACTGAAATTTTGATTTAGGCCTGACAGGCATCGCCTAGTGCGAGGTCTAAAAAAATAAACTGTAATTAGGCTTCTTCAGAATAAAGTTATTATTGTTAATCTAAGAACTTATCATATAATTAAAAATCATAGGTTTATTTATTTCTTATATTACTATATATTCTTATATTACTTTTACATACTCTTCGGTTAGCACCTGCCATCTACTTTTCACCGTGACTAGGATTGACCGGTAGAGAATGCTGTTATGCATTAAGTTTGCCCTTAAGGTGTAACAAAAAAGTTTAAATAAATAAAAAAAACTAAAAACAAATGCTTGTTACGAAATTACTTAGTTTTCAATCTTCTTAATTTATTTCGCGTGATGCCTTCCAAGTAATTCATAATGACTGCGCACTAAAATACTAATATTTTTGATTACAAGTCTTGTAACGTTTAAATTTTAACAAAATAATATACGAAAGTAACGAGTAATTGCGGTAAAACTATCTTTTTTTTATCTACCAAGTTTCGATTAACTATTTAAAGAGTATTAACTCGAATAAATAACCAGTTGATTAATAAGGAAACCATCATGTAATTAATTAGCTTCGGGCAACGGGGTCATTGACATTTATCGCGACAAAAAAACATAACGTTGCATATCGAACCTTGAACAATTAGTTTCTCTACTTAAAACAGATTATGATTAAAACTAAAGTAACAAAAATAATCGCAATGTTATTTAAAACCACATCCAGTAATTTTTACTAGAAAGCCAAATACGGAACCCTAAAAATTAAACATACGTATGTACTATTCATATAATTAAATACCAAAATGAAATTTGCCTGATATTAAAATCCACATTTTTTCTCTTTTTTATTGGACATGATATGATTTTGATTGATCAAAGCGGTTTTCTTCATCACTACATAGTATAAAACAAAGTCGTCCCGTTGTGTCTGTCCTTATGTATGCTTAGATCTTTAGAACTACGCAAAGGATCTTGATGCGGTTTTTTTTACTAGATAGAGTGATTCAAGAGGAAGGTTTATATGTATAATACATTGCATCCGTGCGAAGTTGGGGCGGGTCGCCAGTAAGACTAATAATAAATACATTTTCTTGGTTCTTAAATCTTTTAAAGCTTCCATAACTTGTGCACCCGCCACGAACCTTTGCCTATATAATAAGTAAATCAAAAACAAAACGCGCGTCCATTTGCTTACGCCGCGATCAAACAGTTGCTCTGAAAGCAAACGGTCATCCAGAATGTTTCGAACCGCCGCAACTCACATTTTTAACAGCAGCACAACGGCTTTTCACCGATGCAAAACGCCCACTGAGGTCTGGTTAAGCTGGACGATTCATACTGACTTATCCTTTCCAATGTCCGTGAAAACGAGCTCGGTGACGGCCAAAGACCCCAGAAGTTCTTTTTTTTTTTTTCGTTACTCCACGACACTTTAGTTCCCGCCAATAAGGACGCTAAATGTGACAAGAGGAATAAAACGCGCAAAGAAACATCTAGATGCAACAACGACTGTAACAAAAAGGCTATAAATGTCGCCATTTTTGACAGAACCTTTATAGGCGTAGTTAGAAAAAAGAAAAGCAATTGATCCAATTGCTTTTAGTCGTCGTCAAAGTATTTTAATAATTGTTATTTCTTTCATCAAAATACTAATTAAATAAAATGGTTGCAAAAACGTTAATTTATATCAGGCAGAGAAAGGTCTCATACGTTAACTTTTCTTGTATCGACGAATTTATAAATATTATAATATATTATTAATATATATTTAATTTATTAAAAATTAGATAAATGTAAAAAAAATGTTTCATGTCATTTAACACACATACTACGTGTTAAAAGAAATTATCAGTTTTACGTCTTCTTTTATTACGAAATCGCTATTATTTAACTACGGTGTCACCTGACATAGATGTGTTCGTTAGAGTAATAGCTGAGTAAGGTTAAAAGATAAATAAAACATCGTTAAGCACCCTAAACCTGTTGGATATTTCAAATATAGCATAACATGATTCAAGTAAGAGGAGGCCATTTATTGCTTTCCAAAACCCTAAATCCGACCAATTAACTGTAACTCAACGACTGGTAACTCAACAGGTAGCAGAAAATGGAAATTCATTTTTATACTCTTACACTTTCTTTTTTCTTTTACATTTTCTATTTCATTTTGAGGAGTTCCCTGATATATTTCTGGAGTCTAAAGTCCAATACCAGTGAAATTAATACGGGATCACATGTGAGCTAAACTATACCCAATCCGAAAATATTTTTTAAAATCGGTTCATAAATAACGGAGTTCCTAGGTAAAAAACATAAAAGTATAATACAACCGAAATCAGAACCTCCTCCTTTGCAGTCGGTTGACAGTCGGTTGGTTGTAAATATTATTTAGACATGGGGGTAAGATAAAGAACATTGCACGAGCTGTTTAGCTTGAAAACTTTTATGCACTTAATGAAAAATCAAAATTTGTAGAAGAAAGGACGAAAAGTTATCGAGCCCACGCCATCAGGATTCGCGCCCAACACTTTAACCGCTAAGTTAAACGGCAGCTCGATGGGTATTTACAAATTTTACTGTTCAACTTGATTGGTAAATATGGTTCGACAGTTTCACGTCAACAGCGCGGCCGCGTGCGCTTGAAACGGGTTTAATCGGGTCAATTCCGCCGTTGGGCGCACGAGCGCTCTAATCGCGAACGTATTATGAAAGAGCGGCCGCGATTCGTACAGCAGGAAGCGGCCGGTTGCGAGACATGTCGCGACCGATTCGATGGTTTGCCGGCGCCGATCGATATATCGTTTGGAAATATCCCCCCTGCTCGTTCGACGCATGGGCAAAGGTAGCGCTCTGTAGAGCATGTGTAATGTGTAATTCTTTATTATGAACTGGTAATTGAGCAGGCGATACGTGCGATATCCAAACACCCATGGGTGTCGCAGATGTGTCACCAACCCTTAAGAAAGTGCAGTACCGTTACCTCACTCACCGTAAGAATAGCGTGAGGGTCGTGGTACTTACCCGGACATGCCTACCCATTCGTACAGCATAACCTGTTACGTGGCTCTACCACAGTAAAACTACGCTATAGACTTTGTTTTTATCTATAGTGGGACTATGCATAAGTTTCTGTAGCATTAGTGGAGATTGTCTCACAGAAGAGCGGATTAAAGTAGAAGTATATGTACTTTTGCATTTCGTCTGCTGAGTGAAAACTGTGGGGAATTACAATGCAAAAGTTATTGTTCATATGCCACAGTTTCCTTGACATGCACTTCATTATTACCTGTTTAATAATGCACTTGTACAAAGCCGTAAAATAGTTGATATCCTTATGTAAAGACATTTATGCGGTACCATTATTTTCATAGGTAATATTTTATTTTAATTATATAAATAATTTCCAATTTAGTTAAGACTAGGAATAGTATAGTAGAATATATATAATAGTTGAATCACTATAGCAAAAAAGGATTGCTAAAATATTATATTTAGTTATTTCATAATCCATATCTCTATCATAATATACAAACGAGAAGACTTTTTTATTATACTTTATATAAGTAGGTCGATTCGCAGAAAAAAGTCCCAATATTTTTGTTTCAGGCAGACAAAATATGATCAAATATTAGAACTGCTAAATTAGTTTTATTCTAAAATTCCATATTCATATTTTATATACCGTGATACGAAAAATTCAATATAACTTAGATAGGGACGGGAAAACTAGTATTTTATAACTGCAAAATGTTAATGCATTCTCAAGAACATCACTCATACGTTTCTATTGTATTCATCCATTATTATTGAAACCACAAAACCTTTTTCAATCTATAAACATGGCTGACAAACTTCTCTAACGTCAATTTATAAATTCTAATCTGAAGTCATATCCTCGCCTAAAGATCTCAAGCAATTTGTTTTTTGCTCTTACCATACATTATTCGTTAGCCGGCTTTGTCATTAATTACGAAAGGCTATTTAGATTATCGGTCTACCATTAATTGGAAATCACAATATGTGTCCATTCATTATCACCGTCTGCCTGTGTGGGTTGACGTCGCTGAGATCGTTGTCGGTGACCTCGGATATATCGGGCCCGGCGAACGGACGATTTGTCTGTCGGTTTGATTAATTCGCCCCAACCTCGACCTCGTCAAAAGGCGCGGAAACCGGTGACAGTGGAACAATAGAGCTTCCTGCATCCGCGTGCCGAGTTCTTGCTCGTCAAAATCAGCTGTCAATAGCTTTCTTCGTGTCGGCTGTATGTCGCTTGACCTTTGCGACGCGGAAAGAGAATGAAAATTAAAAGAACAATCACATACAGCCTTGCATCGAACGAAACAATTATAATTACCGAAAGGCGCTAATAAATTCGGCGTATTATAAAGCAGCGGTCAAATTGATAACGATTAGTTGAAATATTGTTGAAAATTTAACAGACATCGATTATTTTTATCTTGATCAATTGATCAATTATGGACACGTAGTCATTTAGTTATTACCGTAAAGCGATTAGAATTTTTTTAACGGATATAAAGTAACTTCGTTATTTTGCAATTTCATAAAGTCACTCTGGCAATGAACCATGAATGAATAAATCTGAATCAATACTTTGCGGTTTGTTAATAATTTTAGAGCATAAAATCGACCGGCAAAACTGCCTGTTTACTGATGATACTACTTTGTTTCCTTTGACCGTTTTAGGTATTGAAATATAGTGTTTCACTTCTAGATATTCTTCTGCTAGAAGTTTTGAAAACTTCTAATCGCTTTTTTCACCTACGGGCAGGATATAGATGTTTTGCCCGGCTTTATATTCATAATACGCCCGTTTATATTACACGCTACATATAATATAAAAAGGTGTTATATACAGCGTGTCGTTACCATCGCGACAATAAATGAACACACGTCTAACGCTACGTGCCAATAATCATAAAAAATATTAACGTTAAACAAAATCCATAATAAAAAAAAAAAATTTTCAAACAAACTAATTAAGTAAAAAAGAAACAAAATTTGTAACATTCTATACAGCTCGCGCCACAGCGTCGTATTACAAGCCTCTCCTTCTAATAGTATATTTTGTCTCTTTTAAATTCATTCAACCCATTCATATGCTTTCTGACCTTTACAAATGAACTTTACGTTACGCTTTTATAGGTAAGGGTGTTCTAAAATTCTTTGTTTTGGAAAATTTAATAACTCTGTAAATATTGATGTTTAAAGAATTTAAATATTTAATACAACTTTAAACACTTATCCCCTATATGTGTGTTCATTTATTGTCGCGATGGTAACGACACGCTGTATAGCCCCACGAAAACGCCGAGTGCATGTGCAAATTAAAATTCTCTTCACGCATTGTCTCTACAACCGCGCCCAATGTCAATTCTAAACAGAATTTGACGTATATGCCGTCGCGCTGCGAGCAATATCGAATCTTAACTTTGGGCGATAGGTGTCCCTTTCATTCGCGTCCGGTGTGAAACGACGATTAAGGTTTTTTCGCGCACGCCTCTATTTGTGTTACTGGGTAAAGGGCAGGCGTGGTGGTGCGTGGTATTTGTTCAAACGGTAGTCGCTTTGACTACTCAGAAGCGGAAAACACCTAATATTTTACAGTGGTCGAGGCACCGTAAGGTAACCGACATAGCATAGAAGATTAGTAAGCTTCGGTGTCAATGGGCGGACTATGTAATTGGTACAACCGATCACTGATGGGGAAGAAAGGTTCTCGAGTGGCAGCATCGTGGTTAACCGCGACGGTTTGGACGAACACCCACCAGATGGATTGATGACCTGTGAAAAATGTGTGAGGAGTTGATCAATGCGGCTGCCTCTGTGGAGCTGCGGGGGAGGCCTATGGATGCCTTCTGCATTTCGTCTGGTGAGTCAGGTAGCCGGAAACCACTCTATTAAAAGGTGGCAACGTAACCCTAAGCGTGTTGCAAATGTCCATGGGCGGCAGATATTACTTAACATCAGGTGAACCGCCGGCTCACTTGCTGCCTGCTCACATAAAAAAAAACATTGGACTATGGCAGAAATAGTGTTGATGATGCGCCTGCGATAACATAAAACGGGCTGCTTATCCGGAAAACTGTCCCTGCCTCACAGAAAACTGGCACGTGTTAAATGCTTTGCGAATCGTCTGAAGAAATATCAAATCCTTTGCGCCTGATAAGCGCAGAAACCCGCCGTTATTTGCCGTCGGCTAATTTCGGCGGGTCAGTTTAAACGTAATTCGGAATACACTTTGGCTGAATTTATAGAATACGGATCCTGTTTTAAAATCAATACCTACTTAATCATCAATACACGTATAGTCGAGATTTTACACTTCATTTGAACTTGTCCCTTTTAGCGGTAAATATTTATATCTTATATTATAATTGTAAATTGTATTCGTTTTGTGTTGCGGATGTCCGTGGCAGAGATATTAATGATCATGGCAAAGGTACCTGCAAAGACGAAGACCCTTTGACAAGTTAGATTCGAGAATGTGAACTCAGATCGAGTTAACTATACCGATTGAAAAAACCGGTAAATGACCCTACCCCTTTAAAAACGACCCTTTTAAACTTAAACACACATATCGTCAAAGACATCAGTCATTGCATTTCGTTCCTTACTTAAAACAAAGTACTCGATAAAGAATTAAATATAATCAACAACCCTATAAAACAAAAAGAACATCCTTTAAACATTGGTGTTCGACCTGGCCACACGCACATTTTAAGTCTAAACATGAGTGTAAATAATCCGAGAAAAAAAAAAATAATCCGATCACGTATCAAGGTGATGTAACGAACGCTCTTTCCCGTTTCCGACAGCCGCTTGGCGCCAATACGCCTCTTTGACAATGGTTGCATCACTTTTTACGCAGCCAGCGACAAGCCGAACCTATTGACATAATCTTTTGTCTGTCAACCACTCTTAATCTTGGGCAATAAAAAAAAGTCAATATTACATTTTGTTACTACATTACGCAGTATTTGTAACTTGAGCGTAACCCCGTTAGCGCATTATATGTTATCAAAAGTTGAAATCTTTGAGAGTTATGTAAACTAGTTTTTCGTTTTTCTTAAATCACTTCTGTAGTACTGCTTAGTACATAGGTAAGGTTATGGAAGGTCAGCTCGCTTATTACATTATTTAAATATTTTCTACGCATCTACATTAGTGAAGAAATATTTTTGGGTTTGACTTTACAGATAATTTATGCACGTTTAGACACGTTTAGCATTTCCATAATGATCGGTAACCCGTTCATAAATATTCTCAAGAGCAGAGGTCATCAACCCACCCTTGCTCTATTGTATAAAACGATTATGATAATATAAAAAAAGAACAGACACAAAATTATTCATATTGACAGCTTTACTGGACCTGTATTTAAAATGAATTCGAATAGAAAATAAATTAACAGCAATAGAACACATTTTCACGTTTTTTTTGTTTTTATGACATTAACTGCTTTGTTTCTCCTAAAAAATATCGAATTCCAGACAACATTCCTTTATACTATTATATTTTGTTGTCAAATTTTTTGGTCTGTATATGCGTATAGATTTTTAATTTATTTTTAATACTAAGGCAGCAACGAATTTTTATTAAACCATGATTTTATTTAATTAAGACCAATAAATTATTAAAAAAAATGTATAGTTTGACTATATCTCTGAATGAAAGACTTTTCACCGACTTTTTACCCGCTTTCAAACGTCCGAATGATTTTGCACACATGAGAACCAATGAAAGAACGATAATTACATAATTACGTGAAGAACTTAATTAATCTACCTGTCCTAATCTGTTCTGTTTGTGAAGGCGCAAACACTTTTCATTGTAATAA